AAGTGGAGGAGGTGAGAAAAAGAGGAAAGGAGAAGAGAATAAAATTTAGTTGGGGAAAGGAGGGGGGGGAGGGGAGGAGGAAAAGGAGAGAAAAACAATGTAAATGGAAATACATACAAGTCTAAAAACAAAACAAAAGAGAGAGAGAGAGAGAGAATCTACTTAAAATAAAAAAACAACGGCTGATAACAAAACAACTGTCATTATTATTATTGCTGCCACTACTACTACTACTACTATTACTACTACTACTAAAATTACTACTACAATTACTACTTCTACTATTACTACTACTACTATTAATACTACTACTACTATTATTACTACTACTATTAATACTACTACTACTATTATTACTACTACTATTAATACTACTACTACTATTATTACTACTACTACTATTACTACTACTACTACTATTACTACTACTTCTACTATTACTACTTACTACTAATTTACTACTACTACAATTACTACTACTACAATTACTACTACTACTACAATTACTACTACTACTACAATTACTACTACTACAATTACTATTACTACAATTACTACTACTACAATTACTACTACTACTACAATTACTACTTCTACTATTACTACTACTACTATTAATACTACTACTACTATTATTACTACTACTATTAATACTACTACTACTATTAATACTACTACTACTATTATTACTACTACTACTATTACTACTACTACAATTACTACTACTACAATTACTACTACTACAATTACTACTACTACTATTATTACTACTACTACTACAATTACTACTACTACAATTACTACTACTACAATTACTACTACTACTATTATTACTACTACTACTATTATTACTACTACTACTATTATTACTACTACTACTATTACTACTACTACAACTACAATTACTACTTCTACTATTACTACTTCTACAATTACTACTACAATTACTACTACTACAATTACTACTACTTCTACTATTACTACTACTTCTACTATTACTAATACTATTAATACTACTACTACTATTATTACTACTACTACTATTACTACTACTACTATTACTACTACTACAATTACTACTTCTACTATTACTACTACTACTATTATTACTACTACTACTATTAATACTACTACTACTATTATTACTACTACTACTATTAATACTACTACTACTACAATTACTACTACTACAATTACTACTACTACAATTACTACTACTACAATTACTACTACTACAATTACTACTACTACAATTACTACTACTACAATTACTACTACTACAATTACTACTACTACAATTACTACTACTACAATTACTACTACTACAATTACTACTACTACTACAATTACTACTACTACAATTACTACTACTACAATTACTACTACTACTACAATTACTACTTCTACTATTACTACTACTACTATTATTACTACTACTACAATTACTACTACTACTATTACTACTACTACAATTACTACTACTACAATTACTACTTCTACTATTACTACTACTACTATTATTACTACTACTACTATTACTACTACTACAATTACTACTTCTACTATTACTACTACTACTACAATTACTACTACTACAATTACTACTACTACTACAATTACTACTACTACAATTACTACTACTACAATTACTACTACTACAATTACTACTACTACAATTACTACTACTACAATTACTACTACTACAATTACTACTACTACAATTACTACTACTACAATTACTACTACTACAATTACTACTACTACAATTACTACTACTACAATTACTACTACTACAATTACTACTACTACTACAATTACTACTACTACTACAATTACTACTACTACAATTACTACTACTACAATTACTACTACTACTACAATTTCTACTACTACTACAATTACTACTACTACAATTACTACTACTACAACTACTACTACTACTATTACTACTACTACAACTACTACTACTACAATTACTACTACTACTACAATTACTACTACTACAATTACTACTACTACAATTACTACTACTACAATTACTACTACTACTATTACTACTACTACTATTACTACTACTACTACTACTACTACTACTACTATTACTACTACTACAATTACTACTACTACAATTACTACTACTACTACTATTACTACTACTACAATTACTACTACTACAATTACTACTACTACAATTACTACTACTACTACAATTACTACTACTACAATTACTACTACTACAATTACTACTACTACAATTACTACTACTACAATTACTACTACTACAATTACTACTACTACAATTACTACTACTACAATTACTACTACTACTACAATTACTACTACTACAATTACTACTACTACAATTACTACTACTACAATTACTACTTCTACTATTACTACTACTACAATTACTACTACTACAATTACTACTACTACAATTACTACTACTACTACAATTACTACTACTACAACTTCTACTTCTACTACTATTACTACTACTGCAATTACTACTTCTACTATTACTACTACTACTACAAGTACTGCTACAACTACAATTACTACTACTACTACTACTACTACTACAATTACTACTACTACAATTACTACTACTACAATTACTACTACTACTACAATTACTACTACTACAATTACTACTACTACAATTACTACTACTACTATTATTACTACTACTACAATTACTACTTCTACTATTACTACTACTTCTACTATTACTACTACTACTACAATTACTACTACTTCTACTATTACTACTTCTACAATTACTACTACAATTACTACTACTACAATTACTACTACTTCTACTATTACTACTACTTCTACTATTACTAATACTATTAATACTACTACTACTATTATTACTACTACTACTATTACTACTACTACTACAATTACTACTACTACTACAATTACTACTACTACAATTACTACTACTACAATTACTACTACTACAATTACTACTACTACAATTACTACTACTACTAACACCGGAGGGAGGGAAGGAGGGAGGAAGGGAGGGAGGAAGGGAGGGAGGAAGGGAGGGAGAAGGGAGGGAGGAAGGGAGGGAGGAAGGGAGGGAGGAGGGAGGAAGGGAGGGAGGAAGGGAGGGAGGAAGGGAGGGAGGGGAGGGAGATAAAGATAGGGAACGAAGGGTGGTATGAGGAAGGGAGAGAAGAGGAGGGGAGAGAAAAGGGAGAGAGGAATAGAGGAAGGGAGAGAAGAGGAGGGGAGAGAAAAGGGAGAGAGGAATAGAGGAAGGGAGAGAAGAGGAGGGGAGAGAAAGGGAGAGAGGAATAGAGGAAGGGAGAGACGGGGGGGGGAAGATAGAGAGGGAGGGAAAGGAGGTGTAGGTAGCAAGTGGCACGTAGAGGGAGAAGGAACAAGAAGAAAGGAAGAGGAAGTGAGAGGAAAGGAGTGAGAGGAAAAAAGGGAGAAAATCAGGGAGACAGGAAGAGAAGAGAGCGGAAGGCACGGAGAGGGAAAACTCAGTAACTTACAATCTCCGGAAACAAATGAACAAATACAAACAAGGAAAAACGACGGGGTGTGTGTACCAGGAAAAAAAATAAAAATAAAACTAAATATCCTCAAAGGAAAAAAAAAAAAAAAAAACTTTATCGATCCACAACCGAACGGAAGGCGCGGTTGGCTCCCAGGTTCCCAAGAGCGCACAGGAAGACGGTACACACACACACACACACACACACACACACACACACACACACACACACACACACTCACTCACTCACTCACTCACTCACTCACTCACTCACGAAGGCGAGTGGATCCGTTCTCACGAAACCGTCCTTCTGGAACATTCTTGGGCCATAGGACCTCCTACCCTCACCCCCCCCCTCTACCCCCCTCTCCCTCCCCTATCAATCTCCTTTTACAACACCTTCTCGCTGAAGATGGAGGGAGGGAGGGAGGGAGGGGGGGAGGTGGAGGGTACGAGTTATGTCAACCCTTCCCTTCGGCCGCCGAGTAGCCTTTGACCGACACACCGAACGAGCGAGCGAGCGAACGAACGAGAGAGAGAGAGAGAGAGAGAGAGAGAGAGAGAGAGAGAGAGAGAGAGAGAGAGAGAGAGAGAGAGAGAGAGAGAGAGAGAGAGAGAGAGAGAGAGAGAGGAAGAGACAGAGAGAGGAAGAGACAGAGAGAGAGACAGAGAGGGAGGGAGCGAGAGAAGCAGCGAGCGAGGGAGCGACGCGGAGGGAGTCAACGCCCTTCGCTCGCCTCGCAGTCATCATCACTTTTGGCGGGAACTTGCGTTTGGCGCGCCAGCCACGTGACCCCCCCTTGACCCCCCCTCCCTTTGACCCCCCCGCGTAGTAACTCCTGTCCGGGGGGGAGGGGGGAGAAGGGGGAGAAACGTAGAGTTGCCAGACACACAAATCAAAAACTCGCATGCTGATTGGTCGGCGGGAGAACTACGCGCGTTCATTGGCTGGAGTCACTACGGGATATTTCAGGGCTGTCAACTTCAACGAGGATGCGGGGGTTATTTTTTAAGGTTTTCAGGAGTTTCAGGAGTATATTGATGTTGCTTTTTATTTTTAATGAGTTTGAAATATATTTCGGATTATTCCTGTAAGAAAAAAAATTAAAAGTAAGTCATTTTATTCTGATGGTATACCAAAACAGAGGCTCTGTTGGTAACGCCCGCCAGAATGTATTGAATTCTTGCGTGTGACGTCAGAGGAGACGCTGAACACCCACGAATCCAGACGTAAATATTACGCTCACGAAGAGGAAGAAAGTAGTAACATGTCTGCGTCACTTTTCCTATTTACTGGTAGAAATAACCGCTTCTCCGATCCCTTTTACGAATAATATACATCAGTATCTTCTATTTCACAAGAAAAAATCTATCCGCCAAGCCCACGGAAAGAAAAACTGGAATAAATCCGAGGATGATAGTGGCGTAGGAATACCTTGTATAAGAGCCAAGTAGACATAGATATTCATCAGTTACACTCTTGCGCTCGTGGCGAGTGGACTCATTCGTCGTCGTCCTCGGGGTCTGGAAACCACCCACCCAAGGAGACCTTTAAAAGATCTCGAAAAAAAAGTGCTAAAAGGATTAAGAAAAAACCGACACAAACCCCAAGCATCCATTAAGTCCAAGTGAAACCAGAAGGACATCCCACAGTTCATTTTTTTTTAAGTTAAAGAGAAAATAAGGTATTTTGTAAAGTGCAACAACATACAGAGGCAAGGAACCCCCGACTCTTCTCTCTCCCCAAAAGGCATTTCTTCCCCAAAATTCCGAGTGAATGAGTCATCTGGAATATGCTGGACGTCATTGTCTCTCCCAAGATCTCTCACATCGCGAGCATGGCGCCGCAGTCTAGCAGTGTCGCGCCGCCCGTGTTCTGCAGCGACGAGAAGGCCACGTCTTGCAAAATGTGCTCCAAGTGTGGCCCCATTGCATCTGCAACTAAGCCTGCAACATCCAATGCCACAGCTTCGTCTAGAGTCACAGTTCCCTTGACGACGAGAGGTGATTTTCAAGCGGTTATTTGTTGGGATTGAGTGGTGTTATTCAACCAGTCACATATGTTATGGATGTGTTTAAGTTAGAATAAGTGTTATGTTGCAGAGTGATAAGTATTAAATAATAAATGAATCAAGGGTATACGTGTGTAATAGAGCAGTTCGAATGCAATTGTTTATGTTGCGTGAGTGTATGGAAGCTAATGCTGTTGTTTATGTTGTGTTTGTCATCTTGCTCAGCCTGGCATCAGTGTTATGGGATTGCACGTGTGAAAATATTGCAAAAATTGGGCCAAACGTAATGTTGTTTTGGGCTCGTGATTATCTGATGAGGTCGGGTAAGATTTTACATAATATCAAACATTTCTATGTCAACAGCCCACGTGGGGAGGGGTGGATGGGCGGGCGAGGGGGGGGCTGAAACAGGGGGTTATTTACCTTTGCAACGAAGAGTGCAACGACTTTTTGTGCTCCCCGTCTTCATTGCATTTTGTTTGTTATCGGGTTTTGTTATGGTGAGAATGAGGAGAATTTCGCTCATGAAGGTTGTTTTGTCTCGTAAGTAAAAGGTGATTGGGAGGTAACTATCGTACACTAATTATATGTTTGTGTTTGTAGAGATGATGGTTATGTTGTAGTTTACAGTTTCTGATGTAGGTGTTAGGAAAGGGCGAGAACTCCATTTGTCCATTTAACGACCAGGAATTGGAGATTAGATTGTGGAAATGGGTTCTTGGTCCGTTCAGTGTTGTTTGGGGGTAGCTTAGCTTACTGGCAGGTAGGTACTTGTGCTCTAGAATTTAGGCAGTTGTTAAGACAGTATTTAAACTTGTGAGATTTTAATGTGTAAATTTGGTCATTTTGGATTATCGATAATGTGTTTAGCTGCCGTTAATCACTTGTTTGTTGTTGTTATTCTTGTTCTTGCTTGTGGTGGTGTATTGTTGAATCTTCCTTTTTGGCGATTGTATGTAGCTTTTTTGTTTTTTGTAATTTGTCTTGAGGGTCGTTTAGGGAAGGACAGCGCGTTTTTCCTACTGAGTTTGCAGTATTTTGTATTTGTTTGCTTGTTGAGTGACACGCTGTCTGTCGCAGGTTTTGTTGTGACTGTGAGATCACTCCTTCCCTTTGTTATTGTTTGTGATTTGGTGCTGGAACGAGTGTTATTTGGCTTTTAATCTCGACGGACGCAAAATGGTCCGTTTATGTAATATGCTTCTTGACCAACATATGTTCTGGCTACGATTTTTTTTTTGTTTGTGCTAAGTCCTCTTGATGCTTTCGTAGTTTTGTTTTTGTTCAAAGGATGTTTAGATAATCACGGGAAATTGTGTTCAATTGAAAGCTTTATTCCCGAAACCAGATTGAACTTGTAACCCTCCTTGCGAAAGAGTAGTCCTGTCTGCTGGATCTACGCAGTTGCTTTGGGAATGGGCCCTCATTTTTTCTCTCTCATTCTTCCCATTCCTTCGTTTATGGCAAGAGGATGACGCTGTGATACTGTATCTTCTCGAAGGACGGAGTTGTGGGGGTGGGGGTTGGGGGGGCTGGTTGGGGAGGGAAGGAAGGAGGGAGGGAGGGTGTGTGTGCGGAGGGGAGGGTTGTCCTACGCATCCTTTTCTCGCAAGAAATGACGTCGCAGAGATTGACCTGGTTTTTTTTTTCTGGGGTGTTGGTGTTTGTCCTTTTATGGAGGAATGTATAGAGTTCTTTTGTGGTATTTTTTTTTTAAAGGACCTCCCCCCTCCTCTTCCTCCTCCTCCTACTCCCCCCTTCCCGAGTGCGGTGGCTGTTTGACCTACTATGGCGTCGGGACCTCGGGTCAGCCTGGCGCGCGACCGTGTTTATGTGTTGTGTCTATCCACGGTTAAAGGTGTTTCTGTGCGAAGTCTGCGTGTGCTTTCGGAGGGCGGGGGCCTTCGTCGGCGTTGGGGGAAGCTCCTGTAGACGCGGTGCAGACGAGGTCATGTTGCTTGACCCCTTTCTTTTGTTTGTTTTTGTTTTGGCTTGCTCACCTCGAGGGTCCGTACCTGCCTGCCTGCCTGCCTACCCCTCCCTCCTCCCTCCTCCTCCTCCTCCTCCTCCTCCTCCTCCTCCTCCTCCTCCTCCTCCTCCTCCTCCTCCTCCTCCTCCTCCTCCTCCTCCTCCTCCTCCTTGACTACTTGAACCCTCTCTTCGCCATCCTTCCCCCGCTCCTTCGTGTTGGGCAGGGCTAATGTGCGCTCCTCGACCGCTTCTTTCGTGTATTGTAGTGGTGGGCGGAGGTCGGGCCAGTTATTTCGTGCATACTCCGATGACCATGCGTACGTAGTTTGTTGACCTGAGACGCACGAAAGTAGGTCAGACTGTCTATTGTTTTTGTTTTGGTCTGCCTCGTTTTTTTTTTCTTTTGTTTTTTTCTTTCTTGGTTACTTGTTTGTGTGTTTGTGTCTGCCGGTGAGCCATTGTGCACGCAGCAGGTAGTGGTGATGCGCAGGGCTGTTTGATAAGGGCAGCTTCCGGTGTCGTGTGATGAAGGAAGCGCGCCTGTGAGCTGTTCGTCGCTTGGTTCTCGGAAACCTATTTATCTCGAGGAAGTTTTGTTTAAGGAAGTTTTGTTTGTCGCGTTTATTGGAAGTGTTTTTCAGGAAAATGCCTGTGATATTATTCGCCTTATTAATCGCGCGCAGCTGCATTTTCCTGTGTAATTGTAATACAATTTTCTCTCGTTTGGTATTGCATCTTTCTCACATTTGTTTTTTTTCTCTCCCCCCTTCCAACAACTTCGGGCGGCCTCTGTAGGGAATGGGCGGCCCGTAGAGGAGACGTACCGAGTGGGGCCAGTCCTTGGCAAGGGCGGCTTCGGAACAGTCTACTCCGGCTGGAGAGTGAGGGATGGAGCCCCCGTCGCCATCAAACAAGTTGCCAAAGCCAAAATCACAGCATGGGAAATGGTAAGTACAGTTTATTGGTTGTTTTATTATTCTCGTAGACGATTTTCATGCACTTTTTGTTTTGTTTCTGGATCTAAGGGTTGTTTTTAGTTTTTATTATGTAGATAAGTGTATACGTGTGCATTTGTTTGCCTGGGTGCGGGTATGGAAGTGTTTGTTTATCCCTGAGTGTGTGGAGGGTTGTATGTATCGTCTGCGTTGTTCGGTTTGTTATGCCACAGAGAGAGAGAGAGGCTGAGGGGAACTGTTCCACTTCTGTTCGCTATTGTGTGCGCACCTCTCTCTCTCTCTCTCTCTCCCTGGCATTGGCCATCTCGCAAATTACACTTTAAATTGAAAAATGAGGATAAGCCAAGCATCACTTAGTGACGTTTCCCCCCCCCTCATCTCCCCCTCCCGATCCTCTCTCCCACTTCCCCTTCTCCCCCCCCCCCCCCCGCCTGAAGCACCATCTTCATTACCCCTCTTGCATCTTCGTCTCACCACTTTGCATCCCCACAAAAGTAGGCCAGGTAAAAGAGGGGAGGGAGAGGGGAAGTAGGCTCGCCTCTCGTCTCCTCGCATTCGAGTGAGGGGGAGACGGGGGGGTGGTGGGGGGGGGCTGTTGCATACGAAGGCTCTAATGCGTAGCTCGCCAGGAGGGGGGGGAGGGGGGGAGGAGAGGGGATTTTCTAAGAGAAGAGGGAGCGGGGAAGGCTGTCTGTATACGGAAGTCGTCTGTCTCCTTATTATTGTTTTTTTTTTTTTTCTTGTTTGTTATGCTTGCTCGTTTTGTCGTCTCCCCTCTTCCATCTCTCCCCCCTCTCCGTCGCCTCCCGCTTAGCCTCCCATTTTTATTGTTTTATGCCTTTTCCTTCCCTTTTATTCCGAATTACCTATTCTCCTTTGCTTCCCCGCATCCCCTAGCGAAGGCGATAGGGGGAGAGAGAATAAAGAATAGGGGGGGAAAGGGGGAAAAGGAGAGGCAGACATGCAAGACGCAGACAGAAAATAGAAGGGAGAAGAGAAGAGAAGAGAGAAGAGAGAAGGGGCGGGGTCTCGGGGCCGTGGCTGGGGTCTTGTCCCGATCGATACTCCCCGACGTGTCTGTCGCTGAGGGGAGAGTGAGGGGAGGGGGGGGGAGAGGGGAGCATATAGGCGCGTGGGTGGGGAGGAGGAGGAGGAAGAGGAGGAGGAGGAGAAGGTGAAGGAAGGGGAGACGGAGGAGGAGGAAGGAGAATTCTTCCTTGCCCCTCTCTCTCTCTCTCTCTCTCTCTCTCTCTCTCACTCACTCACTCACTCACTCACTCACTCACTCACTCACTCACTCTCTCTCTCTCTCTCTCTCTCTCTCTCTCTCTCTCTCTCTCTCTCTCTCTCTCACTCTCTCTCTCTCTCTCTCTCTCTCTCTCTCTCTCTCTCTCTCTCTCTCTCTCTCAGATGGGGTGGGCGAAAGGGACTAGGCGAGGGGGGGGGGAGCTGGGTCATAGGTACGACGGCGGCAACGATACATTACCCGGTCGTTTCTGTGCTAAGTCGTCTTCGAATGGGGTCGTGGGAAGTGGTGATGGTCGTGGTGGAAGTGCGATGGTAAAGGCGGTAGTAGTCGCATTACCTTCGCTGACATCCTCGGCACCGGCACCGCACGCTGACGTCTCCGGTTACAGCGAGAGGAGTGGGTCTTGGGAGCATCATATGCATGCGGATATGGGTGGCACGTGACAGGAGTCGACGCTGCAACTTGCAGGGTTGATTCCCCTTCCCCTTCCCCTCCCCCCCCCCCTTTTTCCCCTCCTTGCCGCTTTGGTTGGCACGTGAAGGCTGGAGCAGGTGAGAAAGAGAAAGAGAAAGAGAGAGAGAAGAGAGAAGAGAGAAGAGAGAAGAGAGAAGAGAAAAGGGAGGGGGGGGGAGGGTATTCAGTTCGTGTACAGGTGCCCCCCCCCCTCTCGCTCCCGCCCGCGGCCACTTCAGTTAGGGCACGAGGAATGCGACGCCCCGCCCCGAATTTTGCGCGGAATCTGCACGGAGAGGAAGAAGGGAAGGGGGGGAGAACGAGGGGGGGTGGGGGTGAGGGCACGCTTTGAATTTCCTCTTGCAAACTTATCCATCCATCCATCTCTCTTTCATCTCTTTTTCTCTCTTTCTCTTTCTCTCTCTTTCTCTTCTCTTCCCTCGTCTTCCTTAATTCCTTCTACTTGTCTTCTCCCTCGCCCCCCCCCCCACTTCGGCCTCAGCATCGGCGGTGGCCAGCGCTGCGCATACCGGCATACCTAACCGTATGCGTCCCTGCAGCGGGCATACCAGCACCGGGTCCCCTCTCCCTCCGCGCCTGTACGGGAGGTGCATGCGGGGTTGGCGGGGTGGGGGGTTGGGGTTGGAGGGGGGGAGAAGTGAGGTCTCGCCGAAGAAAGAATAAAATCTTTAATTGAGCTTAATCACCCGGATGTTATTCGATTCCACTGGTAGTCAGTTTGTCGGCACCTTTCCTTTTTCCCTTTTCCTTCCTCTCCTCTTCCATAGCCCCTTCTTCCTCCCCCCCCTCCTCCTCCTCCTCCCCGTCCTGTAGAATCCTGCGTAGGATTTAAATTTCAAATGAAGGAGGTTTGGGGGCTGGTGGGTTGGAGGGGGACGGAGGGGTGGGGGAGGTAGGTAGGGGATGTGGGGGTGACCTGTAGATGCTCATTTCTAAGGCATCTTTCCCCTCCCCCACCCCACCCCACTCTCCCGCGCTCTCATTCTTTCGTTCATTCACCTCCTCCCTGCTCTCCATATTCGTCTCCCTACCCCCCTTTCTTCCCCATTCCTCTTACCCACTTCTCCTTGTACCCCCCCTCTTCCCCCCCTTTTCCCCATTCCCCATATTCACCACCCCCTCCCTCCTACCCCTCTCTTGCCCTTCCCATTCCTCATATTCACCTCCTTCCCCCCTCTCCCCACCAACCTCCCCCCTCTGCCTTTCCCCCTCTCCCCACCAACCTCCCCCCCTCTGCCTTTCCCATTCCTCATATTCACCTCCCTTCCCCCTCCCCCCACCAACCTCCTCCCCCTTCCCCCCTCCCCCCTCTCCTCCTTCCCCCCCTCCCGTGTCTGGCCTTCGTCAACTGCCAAGGTTTCTGTCGGTCGGTCGCAGGACGCTCTTGTCAGTCGCCTAATTCGATCCTCGTTGTCGATTTCCGGTCCGGGGGCGAGTGGGCGTAGTGGTTGGTGGCGGCGGTGGTGGTAGCGTGGTGCGGCGGGCGGCGTGGGTCTTCTTCTTGCGGGCGGGCGGGCGGGAGTGTGTGTGTCTGTGTCTGTGTGCGTGTGTGTGTGTGTGTGTGTGTGTGTGTGTGTGTGTGTGTGTGTGTGTGTGTGTGTGTGTATGTTGTGTGCGTGTGTGTGTGTGCGTGCGTGCGTGCGTGTGTGTGTGTGTGTCTGCGTCTGTGTCTGCGTGCGTGCGTGCGTGTGTGTGCGTGGGGTCGCGGATAGGCCTACGCGCCGTGTTGCTAAGAGGAGCGAGTGAATGAGCGGCCGAGTCTGGAGAGACTTTCAGGAAAAAAAAAAAAAAGTGTAGAGGGGGAGATCTTGTTTGGGTGGGGAGAGTTGTGGGGGAGGAGGAGGAGGAGGGGGGGGCTGAAGTAACGTTGCTAAGGCTTTAGTTGGTTGCTGCGCCCCTCACTCGCCCTAAAACCGCACCCTCCTCCTCCTCTCCCCTTCCCTACTCCCACTCTTCCCTGTCTGTCCTCGCTCCCTTTTCTATTCCTCTTTGACCATCTGAAAAAGGGTTGTTCTCTTGGCTCCGTAACTTCTTATTAAGGCCATTGACACACGCGAGGTTTCATTTTTTTCTGGGCTGCGTCCTCGCCTCTGTTTTGTCTGTCTGTGTCTATCTGTTGTCGTCCTCCTTCCTCTTCCTCTTCCTCTTTCTCCTCTTCTTCCTCCTCCTTCTCCTTCCCCTCCTCATTCTTCTCCTCTTTCTCCTTCTCCTCTCTTCCTCCTGCTGTTCCTCCTCAATCTCTATTTTTAGCCGGCGATAGGACGCACACGCGTGTCTGGGCGTCTGTTGGTTCCGAACAGCGCGTTCCTCTTCTGCTGGGTTTTATTTTCACTCTTTCTCGCTCTGCTGTCGTCGACGCGCATTTCATTTTAGGGATTTAAAAGAACTAAGAAAATAATGGGCGATCGAAAGGTGGTCCTGTTTCCAGAGCGGAGGATCCTTCTAACATTTGGCGGGAAAATGTTTCGGTTTTGGCGGGAAGGCCCGAAGAATCCTTATATTTTTGGCGGGAAGGGCGGGCAGGTAGGGAGGAGAAGGAACGGCGGTCGTAGTACTACGTCTGGGGGGAGGAGGGTGGGTGGGGGTGGGGGGAATGTTGTCAGATGATGGGCATGTAATTTTGATGATGAAACCTTTTTTTTCCCCCGTCTCCCCCCCCCCTTTTTTTTTACATTTGCATTTAATGGCTATTGTTATTAATTTCACTTTTTTCGAACTCTCTTCCCCTGGTGTGTTTACTATACACCCCTCCCGCCCACGTCGCTCTTGTTCCTATGCTCGTGTTGCGTTTAGGGTACGCGGCGTTCATGCGGAGAGAGAGAGGGGGGGAGAGGACGCGCGTATGAGCGAGTGTCGCCGTTCATTCGTACTCTAGAAAGGAACGGCGCTACGGTAAGGGAGGGGGGGGGATAGGGTGACAGTAGTAGTAGTGGGAGGGGAAGGGAGGGGTAACGACCCTAGCCGCGTCTGTATGTACGTCAAACACTCGCATACACGCACTCACGCACAAACATTTCCTGGCTGTAGAGCCGTCTGTCTCCCTCTCCCTCCCTCCCCCACGGGTGCTGAATGGACTCGCCTAGATGTACTCTGGCGTAATTTGTGTGTGTGTGTGTGTTTGTAGGCGTATGCGCGTGTGCGTTTGTGGGCGTGGGAGGCGCTCGGGAGGAGGCTGGTATTCATTAATGGTCTACACGCCTGTATATGGAAGAAGAAAATGGTGAAAAGGGAGAAAATGATGAATAGTTAAAAGAGAAACCCGTGCTTG